TCCATCCCATCCATCCCATCCATCCCATCCATCCCATCCATCCCATCCATCCCATCCATCCCATCCATCCCATCCATCCCATCCATCCCATCCATAGCACCTACTACATAAAAGACACGTGTAGAATAAATGTTACTGTTGTGGTTTGACTTAATTCCCAGAAATGCAGCTAAGTTGTTTTAGTGTTAAACTTTTTCCCCCTGAGAATTCTACATCTCATGAGATGAGGACAAGGTGAGGCTGGTGGGGCTGGTGGCATAGAAAAGAGGATCAGAGCTACTCGGACGATTTCCTGTCAGTCTCTTTCTCTGGACAGAGATCAGGACATCTAACAGATCCTGAGCCAACACTTGCTGTGACCACTTGCTGTCGCGGTTGGTTCAAGAAGCAATGCTACACTCCTTGGGTAGCATCCCAGAGAGCCTGCAGACGTAATCGGGATTGCAGAATGCGGGTTCACAAAGAGAAGAGCAAGAATTATCTAAGATTTTACACAACTGGAGGAGCCCTGGTGGCGCGGTGGTTAAGTGTCCAGCTGCTAACCAAAAGGTCGGCAGTTCGAGTCTACCAGCTGCTCCTTGGAAACCCTATGGGGCAGTTCTACTCTGTCCTATAGGGTCCCTGTCAGTCGGAATTGACTCGACAGCAGTGGGTTTCTAGTATTTTAATTCTATAAGCTAAGGTTGATGCACAGAACTTAGCTGTAACATGAACAGAATTCTTTTCAATTTCCATGGTGTATTTAAAAATATCTTTCTTTCTCTCTTTTATAACATACTTTTGTTACTGTTATACTTTCCAGTTATTTTCCTCACTTAACCAGTTGCCGTCAAGTTAACTCTGACTTATGGTGACCCCATGTGTGTCAGAGTAGAACTGTGCTCCACAGGTTTTCAATGGATGATTTTTCAGAACTAGATCACCAGGCCATTCTTCTGAGGCACCTCTGGGTGGAGTCGAACCTCCAAACTTTTGGTTAGCAGCCAAGCACGTTAACTGTTTGCACATCACCCAGGGACTCCATTTTCCTCATTAGAAGCCGCTTTTCCCATGTTGTTGTTGTTTTTGTTTTTTTGTTTTTTTTTTCTCAGCCTATTTTGGATTTTTACTTTTTCTCAACTGTTCCATAAGGTGTCCAAGGAGCGGCTGGTCGATTCAAACTGCCGACCTTTTTTTGGTTCACAACCGTGCTCTTAACACTGCACACCACCAGGAACCCATCTTTTCTCGTAGTGTTCCCTTTTTCTGAGATCATAAGCCTGCCCAGGAGAGGGCTCCCGTCTGCCTTTGCTTCCTCCAAGGGAGCTTGGACACCACCATGGGCCTTTGCGGGCAGGGCAGCAGTGGAGCCCTGTAAAGCTCATCCTCCCCACCCCCAACCGGGGCAGAGTTGTCCTTGTCCTGTCTCCGAAGTTGTCCTGGTATTGACCCGCCCTCCGTGGTTGTCTTCTCTGGCGTCTTTGCTGATTCCTGCCGCTGCCTTCCCACCGAGAACTGACATTCAAGATGCATCCAACCTCGTCCTTTAACCTAACACAGAAGACCTCCTAAAAATCCACCTGACTTCCGGTCTAGGGAATCAGCACCTTGCATTCAGTCAGCTCCCTCGGCTGCGCTGGCATTTTAGCTGTTGTGCCGATGCCGTGAGCATTTATAGCAGGAAGCTCTGTGCAAGCAAAATAAAAATCAACGGAGAGGCTCTCTGACAGCCACTGGCAGCATTTCTGAAAAATCAGGGTTTTTTTGTTTGTTTTGATTTGTTTTTTTGTGCTTTTTGTTGGTTTTAAAGAATTTTTATGAAGTGTGGAGGAGAGTGGCAGAAGGTTCTAGAGGTTTAGCATGCCAGTTAGCACTTTTGCCCAACATGTTCAGGGTGAGCTCCAGCTTACCGTGTCTTCCCTACCCCGCACCCTCGCGCCACCCACCTGTGCACTACTCACCTGTGCAGGTGCTGAGCGCTGACTGCTATTACCAGCCTTCAGCCTCAGAGGCTGTTCCTTCCCATTTTAGCCCCAGGCAATCTTTCTGGACCTTTTCCCCCAATCCTTTACATTCTCCTCTGTCATGTCCTGAAGATGCCTGCCTTTACTTCTTCTTCTTGTTAGATGCCATCAAGTTGGTTCTGACTCCTAGCGACCCCATGTACAACAGAATGAAACACTGCCTGGTCCCGCACCATCCTCACAATCGTTGCAATGTTTGAGCCCGCTGTTGCAGCCACTGTGTGACTCCATCTCGTTGAGGGTCTTCCTTTTACTTGGGTGCATGCATTTCTTATTTATTTATCCATTCAGTAAACATTTATGGAGCACCTGCTATATGTGCTGGGCCCTGGGGATATAGAATAGAGCATGACAAGTTCTCTCAAAATCCAGTAGGAGACTACACGTGTTAAAATTGCAGGCGCACACGCGTGCGCGCGCATGTGTGTATAACTGGTGCAATTTGAATAAGCTCTTGTTTGTACCAATTTCCTGGGTTTGCTACTTGTTATGAGTTGGAATCAGCTCGACAGAAACAGTTTTTGTTTTGTTTTTTTTATAATTATGCAAGACATTGGATGAGGCTGAGTGAAGGAAATATAGAACCTCCCTGTATACTTTTATGCAGCTTTTTATGGAGCCCTGGTGGTTAAGAGCTAGGCTGCTAACCAAAAGGTCGGCAGTTGGAATCTACCAGCTGCTCCTTGGAAACCCTATGGGGCAGTTCTACTCTGTCCTATAGGGCTGCTATGAGTCAGAATCAACTCCATGGCAATGGGTTTTGTTTTTGGTTTTGTTTTTTTTTGGTGACTTTTTCATTATTTCAAAATAAAAGACCCAACAGGGAATACTGTGGTGAGGGCTAGTGTGGACAGATGTAAGCAGATGTCCAGGAGGACAGCATCCCTAACTCAGCCTGTGTATGAGGAAAGGCCTCCCAGAGCTAGTCCAGAGGGACGGGGGCGGGACTAAGGCTGGGCTGGGGTCCTAAACAGGGGAGTGTCCTGTTCAGAGGCTCCAGGGTGGGAGACCAGGCACGTTCAAGGAATTGCAGGTTGTACAGTGTGTGGCTGTGGGTGAGTGGCAAGAGGTGGCACTGGAGAGGCGGGAGGGATCCCATCCTGAAAGGTCCCGTGTGTCCTGCCAAAGACGCTGGAGGCTGTCCTGAGGTGGCGGCAAGCTCTCGCAGTATCCTCACCAAGAAGGTGGGGTGTTTAGTTGCATTTTAGAAAGTCTGTTTTGGCAGCCTGATAAGCTGGAGGGTGGAGTGGCTGTAGAGACACTGAGGGAGACATGGTTACAGTGAGACATGACGCAAGGCCAAAACAAGGGCAGGGACCGTGGGGACAGAAAGGGAACAGATGCAACATTTTTAGGACGTAGAATTGATAGGACTTGGTGGAGGGTTCAAAAAAAAAGGAGGAACCCGGGATGTTCCCTAGGTGGTTTTGTCTGGAGTAACTGGTTGGTGGTGGCCTCTATCCCTGAGTTAGAAAATAAATGAGGTGCACCCAGTTGAGGCAGGAGATGTCGGGTTTGGGTTTAGACACACTGCAGTTGAGGAGCTTATGGAGTGTGTGAGTGGAGCTGTTGCAGAGATTTGGCTATGCTGGTGTATAGGACCATCGTGTGGATTAGAAATCTAGACTCGGGTGTTATCAGCACACACGCATAGTTAGCATGCTCCCAGGAAGTAAGTATGGAGTAAAACTTGAAGACAGCTGCTGCTGTTCTGGAGAAGTCCTCAAGATTTCAAGACCCTTCCCTTGGAACTCTTCCCACCTGCCTAGGGGAAGTTAATTACTCTCTTAATACTCTATTATCAAACTTTTACCCTGTATCTGCCTCCACTATTACTACATTAGGGATCAGGTCTTATTCTCACCCATCTCCTTGGAATCTAGCAGAGTAGGCGACTCACAGTAGATACTCAGACAGTTACTGAGCAAATTGGGTGAGTTTAACAGAAAATGGTAAGGCAGTTCCTAGTGTTATTTTTACTGTATAATGTTTATTGAAGGGTCCTGGTCTGTTTATCATAATATGACATTTAGAAGAAAACCATAGACCCTGTCCTTAAGGAGCTCCTGTTCACATATTTTCCCTTACTATTGTCAATCTCAATTTAAAAGTACATATCAGGGCTTCACACTAGTTCGAAGTGGTTAAGTCATGGCTGACGGAAACAAGGGCAGCCTATGGTTGCATAGCAACCAAAGCTCTTGCCTGTTGGATTCCGTCCCAAGTAGGAAACAGTGCTGCCTCACACAAAGATGGTGGCCAACTGTGCTGCGTATGTGTGTCACTCCCACAGTCTTATCAATAATCCAACCTCCCGCATCAGTCTCCTGAAAGTTTCCTGATGGAAACTATGCAATGCATACGCTGCCCTTGTTTTCATCAGCCATGGCTGAACCTTTTCAAACTGGTTCACAGCCCTGGGAACATTTATACTTACAATATTATTTATACATATCACATATTTTATAATTCATATGTATTTTAAACTTCTCAGTACTTTAATAGAGCTTTTCATTTCATTCTGAGAACTTAATTTAAATCATAAAACCTAAAGTGATTTTCATTCTTTAGTCAAACTTGATGGCACACATGAATTTTCAATTCAGTTGAATGGGATTTCTCCCTCCCCTGTCTTATATTTTGCCCTCTTAAGCCCCTGGCCGTTCACCTGTGGAAGCACAGTGAGGCTTTGGAGGGACTGGAGAATGAGATCAGGGGCTCCCGGCGGCTGGAGAACTTCTGCAGAGACTTCGAGCTACAGAAGGTGTGTTACTTGCCGCTCAACACCTTCCTGCTGCGGCCATTGCACCGGCTCATGCACTACAAGCAGATCCTGGAGCGGCTCTGCAAGCATCACCCCCCGAACCATGCCGACTTCAGGGACTGCCGAGGTGAGCCACCTGATGCTGGGTCCTGGCTCAGTGTGGGCAGGCAGACTGCTGCAGGGAGGGGCTCCAGGGAAGTAGGTCTGTTGAAATTATGTCCCAGGTTTCCATAGTTACACAAGGCAGGCAGTGCTTTTTAGTGTCTGAGCAAATATTTTCTGTTAAATCTCTTTCTGCAAAGAGGGTGATAATGATCATTATGACCTCTCTTTCCCTGCTCCTTTTGCGTGCGTTTTCTCCCTTGATCCTGGGTGGTTTAGTGTAAAGAACCCTGGAGAAGCACCACCCCCAGACAGCCCCCTCCCCGAAGTCTTCCTCTGCCTACACAGTTGAAACTCCTCATTCACTTCTCAGACTGGCCACTGAAAATGGCTTATAATACTACTGTCCATTGCTGCTGGCATTTGTAATGTACCAAACCAAAAAGCCAAACCCATTGCCATTGAGTCAGTTCCGACTCATGGTGACCCCACGTGTCGCAGAGCAGAACCGCCCCATAGGGTTTTCTTGAATGTAATCTTTATGGAAGCAGATCACCAGGCCTTTCTTCTGTGGTGCCACTGGGTGTGTTCAAACTGCCAACCTTTAGGTTAGTAGTCAAGCACGAACCGTGTGTGCCACCCGAGGACCTTTTGTAATATACCCAAAACCCATTGCTGTTGGTCACCTTAATAAGCACTTTGCCTGTATTAACTCTTTCAATCTTCACGACAAGCCATTTCACATATGGGGAGTACTGACATCAGAGAGGTTAAGTAATCTGCCCAGAATCACACAGCTGAGAAGTAAGACTTGGAACCAAAACCCAGCACTCGTGTCCTTAACTACTCTACCCTACAGTCTCATGATAATACCAGTCTCACCTGTTTAGCTCCTGTAATGGGCCCGGTACTGTGCCATGGATCTTACTAACATTAGCCCTTAAACAACCCGGTGAGACAAGCATTGTTATCCCATTTTACAAATAAGGAAACTGAGGCTCAGAGTGGGTAGAGGACCTGCCAGGGTCCCTCAATTAGTAAAAGGTCACAGCTGGTATTCCAGACCATGCTTTTCACAGCACTGGACCACACATCCTCTTTGTGAGCCTAAGTTGTTCTGTCTCATGTTCTATGTAGTCTGTTAATACTTGCGCTTCCTAGACTATAGGCCCCTTGAGGGCAAGGCCCTGAGGCCTTTGGCTGAGCTCCCCACATTCTCCACCAGGGAGGGCTGGACAGAGCTGTGTGTCCAGCATGGATCTGTACGCCCGCTAGCATGTCAAGGCCCTTATCTCTTGCCTAAAGAATTCTAAACATCTCCTATCTTTCAGCCCAACTGAGTTATCTTTTTAAAATACCTCTCTTACTCCTTTGCTTAAAACTTGGGTGGCACCTGATTCCCTCAGGATAAAATCTAAACTCTTCATGACCTGGCCCTCGTCCAGTCTCTGTGCAGCAAATTTGTATTGAGCACCAGCTGTGGCTAGGTGTACGAGAGAGAATAGAACAGGTGGAGCCTGCCCTCACAGAACTCACATTCCAGTGGTGCAGACGCGAGTATCTGGGCCGTGCGTGGGAAGTGCACAGTGTGATAGGAGCCCATGGCGGGTGTTGGGGGGGGTGGGCATTGGACGCAGCGTTGGGGACCTAGAGGAGGCCTTCTGACAGCAAAGGTCTCTAAATGTAGAACTGAAGTGCAAACAGGAGTTTAACTGGTTGAGGGGAGAGTGTGAAGAATAGAGTTGGGAACAGCATTGTTGCCATTCCAAAAGAGGCGGAGACTATGGAACAATCCAGAAAGTGAAAGAAGTTCCATGTGGCTGAATGTGGAACACAGAGGCCAGATGATAAGGCTGGAAAAGTAAACTGGAAGCAGACCCCACAGGATCTTACAAACCCTGTAAGACCTCAGAACAAAGGGAAGACGGGAAAGGTTTTAAGGAGGGCATTGGTGAGATGAGGCTTCTTCTAGAAAGATCTCTCTATTAGTTTCTGTGATCTATAAAGGACTTCTGCAAAGTATATTTTAAAAAGACAGCACAATGACAATTTGGCAAAGTAAAACATTGGCAGTTCATGGAAGGAGAGCAGAAATGGCTGATGACCCGGACTACTGCAGATAGTTACTCTTCAAAACAAACCATGTTGGCTCATGCCTCTGTCTTTGTATATTCTGGTCCTTCTGCTTGGAGCCATTACCATCACCTCTTATTCCTTTCCTGGAAAACTCCTCCTCATCCTCTAAGCGTCAGCATGTGCCCGATACTTGAGGTTGAGCTGACCTCGCCCACCTTGTCCTGTTGTGTTGGCACTGCCACTTGCCACCGATTGACCAGGCCTGGACAAGATGACCCAAGGCCCTCCCCAGCTCTGACGACTCTATAGAGATATATTACTCATGAGGGTGAAGGAAATTTATGGTTTTGTCTGTGCTGTTCTTGGAAGATTTCTTTTTTTACAATTTTTCTAAATAGTCTCCAATGGAAATAGTCTGTCACTGACAATTAAATGGAAAACTGCAATTGTTACCTAGCTTGAAACATCATGTGGCATCATTGTAGAAAGGTTGGGGAAGACAAGGTGTGTCTGAACATATATTCTCTGAATGTGAGGGCTGCAGGTGTGCAGGTACAAACAGCTGCTCCAAGAACGCCCTGCCTCATGAGCACCTAGGGGGCAGGGTGCCATCTTTTTTCTCTTAGAGCTTCCTCATTCCCACCCACTCAGCATTTGGTGCTTATTGAACCCAATCAGGTAATAATGTCAGAAGATTGAGCAAGCCCTAGGGCTTATCATTATGGGTGAGACAACGCATTCTGGGATAAGCTTAAGCCAGGAAGCATTTAATTTGCATCCCCAGGGAGAAAGGAAAACAAAATGCTTCACTTCCTCCAAAGCTGAAGTGCTGGAGGGTGGCAGGGTATTTAGTATTCTGAAGATTAAAGTTGAGTCTGCAAGCATTTCTTGCTTTTCTTGACAAAAATACACAAATGCTTGGGGGGAAGTATTGAATTTATGTTAATGGTGGTAAAATATTTTGGAAAAAGATAGGGATAATGGTGATCCAACCTGAAAAATGGACATCAATGTCACCGAATTGTAAATGTGGAAGTTGTTGTGCTGGTGAATGTTTTGGTGTGTATATTTTCGCCACCATTTAAAAAAATACACAAATGCTCAGCAATATGGCTTTGAGTGTCCCCCCCCAACTTGTATTAACTAGGTGATAGCTCTTTTACATAGTGGATGGCTTACCGGCTGAGAGAGATGTGCCCATATTTGGGAGTAAAGTTTAATTTGTAGTTTCTCTTTGCAACTGTCTTGGTAAACAGGATAAGGCCATCAGAAGGAAGAAATGTGTGCACTGGAATGGTAGTTACCCAAAAGTGTTGCCAATATCAATTAGACCCTCTTGCAAAAAGACCCCTTCTCTGCCCCCAGATGTTTCTGTGGCATCTTTGTGCTCACTCTGCTTTCCAGGTAACAGGAGGGAGAAGAAAAGTCTCTACCCTGAGAACAAAAATCAAGGCACTCTTCCTCCCCTGCCTCTTGTGCCAACAAATTATTCTAATTGAAGGACAGCTGTATGCTGCATAGCTATAAATGGATCATGTACATTTGCCAGATGCCTTTGGGAGGAAAGCAAATGCATACATGAAGTAAATCACTTAATTTTTATTATAAATAGCAATTTTTTTTTAGAAGCACAGCTTCTAACAGTGTGGCTACTATAGGATATTACCCTTAAGAGTTGAGCTTAAAGATGTTGGGGGAAAAAAAGACCCTTGTCTGCCATTAATGCTGCAGTTTTGTTTTGTTTGTTTGTTTGTTTTGTCTTTTTCCTTCATTAGCTGCTTTGGCAGAGATTACTGAAATGGTGGCACAGCTTCATGGTACAATGATCAAAATGGAGAATTTCCAGAAGCTGCATGAACTCAAGAAAGATTTGATTGGCATCGACAATCTTGTAATTCCAGGAAGGGTAAGCGGCAGGGGTCTCTGTATGCGTTTGAGGTACAGCCAAAAAGGAGACATTTAAGTGACTGAAATTTCAACCCTTGAAATATTAACACTCGCAAGTTAGAATGTCCTCACTCAGAGACACCTTCCTTTCACTTGACAGACAATTGGGAAAACACCTTGGACATTACCGTGTCGTTAAAAATTATTATGTTAGAAGGAGATAAGTAATCCTTTGCCCTCGTGCTCTGTTTTTCTCCTTATTGGTTGATTTGCTTAGTTACTTTTTCCCTACCATATTCCAGAGAGGGTTTGAGAAAGCTTATTTTTTTAAAAAATTAGCTAATGAAAATGGAGATAAAGTTTAAAAAAAAATTGGATAAAACGGTGATATGTAGCCACAGAAAAAGTTAGTGCATGAAAGCATGCTGTAAATTCCCATGCAAGTATGAAGAGTATTTTTTAAACATGCAATTTCCTATACATAATTTAATTTTAACTAGAAATTAAAATAACATTTTAGCGAGAAAACAATTCTGGGAGTGATATCAGTTCATTTCTGCTATTAGCTTTCACCTAACCAGCACCCTTCATTACATGCAGGCCATTCACAATAAAACAGGGCCTCGCTACAAAAACATGCTCCTTTCAGGCCAACAAGACTATAACAAATATAGTATAGGCTGCCTTTTTTCAGTTCCCTTCCTAGGAAGCTATTGCCCAGGAATCAAAAATGTTATTTGGTTCCTGCATCTCTTCGTATCTCTCCACAGGCTCTTTCACCCTGATAACCATTTCAAACCGTACATCACCTGGGCTCACACGATAATTTTAGCCTCTTTGAATCGCCTGCATGCTTGCCTTTCCCTTCCGACAGGTATCCAGTATTTCAGGGAATCAGTCTTATCTGAAAGGTAGCTGCCCTGGAAACTTCAAATTTATCAATTCAGGAAGATGAAGAACCCTCCCTGTGTATTTGGGTAGTTCTGTCAGGAAGCCTAATTATAAAACTGACTGGAAAACAAGTTGTGGGAGATTGTCAGAAGAGTTATGTTGTAAGAGGTGGGTGGAAATTAAAGCTGGGATTTGTTTGAGCTCTGCTGGTGAGAAAATTCTGCCAGGCCTCAGCACATAATAGCCACGTTTATCCATCCGTGTGGAACCCTTAGAAAAACTCTGTGGAATCAATGTAATTTTCTCTGAATTTTGAACGTTACAAAATATTTACCATACTGTGCTACAGGACAAACAGACCATTTGTAAAGAATTTAATACTTTGAGGAAATAGTTCTCATGGTATAAAGAAAAGAGCATTGGAGTGGCGTATGCAGCCCTGGGTTCAAATTCTGGCTCCACCAGAACTGGTATGTTCACCTATCAGAGCTTTCCTTCCCTTCTGTAACATGGGGGTCATATCCTCTCCCTGGTAGGTTATGAGGATAAAATGAGAGTTAACAGGTAAAAATAACACCAGACAGAATCGACTCAACCGCAACAGGTTTGGTTTTGGTTTTATTGGTTTATGTAGCACAGCATTGCAGAAAGCATCACAAGCATTTAGCCAAATACCAGTTCTATCGTTTACCAACTGACCAAGTTGCCTAGTGCTGCCATAACACAAAATACCACAGGTGGGTGGCTTTAAAGAACACTCATTTATTTTCTTACGGTTCCGGAGGCCAGAAGTCCAGATTTAGGGCGTTAGCTCTGGGAGAAGATTCTTCTCTGTCTCTTTCAGCTCCTAACGTTGTTGTTGTTAGGTGCCATCGAGTTGGTACAGACTCACAGCAACCCCACGTACAACAGAACGAACCACTGCCCAGTCCTGCGCCATCCTCACAGTCATTGCGATGTTTGAGCCGGTTGTTGCAGCCAACGATGTTGAGGGTCTTCCTCTTTTTCGCTGACCCTCTACTTTACAAGCATGATGTCCTTCTCCAGGAACTCGTCCCTCCTGATAACATGTCCAAAGTATGTGAGGCAAAGTCTCGCCATCCTTGCTCCTGAGGAGCATTCTGGCTGTACTTCTTCTAAGACAGATTTGTTCATTCTTTTGGCAGTCCATGGTATATTCAGTATTCTTCACCAACACCATAATTCGAATGCATCAGTTCTTCTTCGGTCTTCTTATTTGTTGTCCAGCTTTCATATGCATATGAGGTGATTGAAAACACCATGGCTTGTATCAGGCCTACCTTAGTCCTCAAAGTGACATCTTTGCTTTTCAACAGGTTAAAGAGGTTTTTTGGAACAGATTAGCCCAGTGAAATACGTCTTTTCATTTCTTGACTGTTGCTTCCATGGGCGTTGATTGTGGACCTAAGTAAAGTGAAATCTTTGACAATGTCAGTCTTTTCTATTTATCATGATGTCGCTTATTGGTCCAGTTGTGAGGATTTTTGTTTTCTTTATGTTGAGGTATAATCCATACTGAAGACTGTAGTCTTTGATCTTCATCAGTAAGTGCTTCAAGTCCTCTTCACTTTCAGTAAGCAAGGTTGTGTTAGAGTCTTCCTATAATCTTGATGCTGCGTTCTTCTTCATATAGTCCAGTTTCTCAGATTATTTGCTTAGCATACAGATTGAATAAGTATGGTGAAAGAATAGAACCCTGACACCCACCTTTTCTAATTTTAAACCACATATCCCCTTGTTTGATTTGAATAACTGCCTCTTGGTCTGTGTACAGGTTCTGCATGAGCACAATTAAGTGTTCTGGAATTCCCATTCTTTGCAATGTTATCCATAATTTGTTATGATCCACACAGTCGAATGCCTTTGCATAGT